TTGCTGGATAGGCTGCTTTAAAAAACAAAAGGCACAGCTACACTACCTGTAATGACAATGTGGTTTCATCCACTCTGAGTACTTATAAGGTAAAAGTCTATTTCTATTAGTTTATATTTTCAATTTGAGACCACCAGAAACAAAAACCAGTTCCTCTACAGTTGTTCATTCTTTCTTTGAAAAGTTTGGCGAATAATCTTTCTCTCTGTTGATCCATCCAACATGAGTAAAGGCTCTGTTATATCATTCTCACCATCAGTACCTCTTGTAGTCAACGCGATGAGGTAACATCACATGATCACCATCACCTGACGATGACATGTTATTTTTTTATTTTAAAATTTTTTTTTTAAACCTCAATATGTAGCTTATGGTTCATTTTCTCCCACTTGCATTTAAGACAGTCTTAATAAACGAGTGTGAAATGTGAAACTACATTTTGATGACAGCAGCTCATTTAACACGGGACTACCCGCTCCAATTACCCAGAATGCCTCGCTTGTTGCCGTCTGGCGAAGGAGTGACTGTGTAGAATAGAGTCAGCTAACACTTTGACATTCATGAAGTTGTCGTTACTATGCATGTTTATTGTATGAAATAAGACAAAAGAGGGAAAGAAAATCAACAGGGGGAAGGCGAAATCTGTTGTTGTCCACCCAGCAGCGATGCCTCTCTTCACGACCAACCCATTTGACCAAGATGTTGGTGAGTAATCAGCACTGGGGGGGTTTCTAGCAGGCTAGCTCAAGTAGCTTTGATCAGTCAGCTTTGTTTGTGTCCCCCCAAGCTGTCTTAAGCTTAAATATCACCCCCCCTCCTTCCCCTTTTATATAAGCTATAAGCATACTGTTATATGGTTGTCCCGCAGTATGTATTGCAGGCTGTACACACTGACCAGCTGTGGTCCATGTTGTTGTTTGTGTATCCTTGTGTTTGTTGTGATTCGCTCAGTTAGCCACAGTTCGGCTGGCTAGCTTGCAAAAAACCTCACCTTATGTGGAGATTTAGGTCGGATAGCAAAGCGGGTAAGGTGAAGAAGTGATGGTTCGTGTGCTGGGGTTCGCTGGTAATCGACGTGGGACTCGGATGCTGCCTCGTCGTTGCCTTACTTGCGTCCACCGTCTGTGGGCTAACGGGGCATGATGAGCCTCTCGCAGTTATTGCAGAGTGAAAGAGGATGCGGTGGTGTGTGAAACCCTAAAGTCACTCTGTGTTTCCTCTTTTCCTCTTTTTGTTCTGTGTCCTGTGGTTAACCACTTCATTAGCATGTGTACAGTCAGTGTGCAGGTGGCGGCCAAAGTACACACACACACACACACACACACACACACACACCTTATTATACATTAGCTGTAGAGCAGCAGTAAATGCTCGTTTGGTAAAGCTGATGATTTGTGTGTGTGTGTGTTATTTCATCTTTAAAGGGCATTTTTCAGGCTGTTTTGTGTAAATATGTTGTTGGGTGTCTCTTTCAGGCAGTGTGTTGGTGTAACTAGGGGTTAGGGATATAAATAAGGTCATCTAATGTTACAATGTCTGTATGAATCTTATGTTTAAAACAACTGAGAGGTGTGAAAATAGCCTGACAGGAATGTCTTTTTCTAGCCACTTCAGCGAAAGTAAAACTCCTAAAAATCAATGTACTTCCTCACATTGATATAACAATTATATAAAAATCCCAAATCCATGATACAACAAGAGATATTGAACACATTCGTAGCTCCATCATACTCCCATAAGCATATACTTCAATATTCCTACAGCAGCTAAACACATGGGTTATATGGTCGGATAGCAGTAGGAGGTACTTCACCACTTTTATCTGGGATTTGTTTTACATTAGGTTCAAGGCAAGACAAGTGAAGCACACAGAGGCTTGATAGTGATACTATCCTTACCGCATTAACTGCTGCTCCATCTGTAGAATGTTGTCATTTGAAAAGAGGAGAAATTGCAAAACAAAATCATGGTGACATGTGCCAAAGACGGGGAACTACAATGGTAAAGAGGAACTTTTACCACTATTGAATCAAAGACACTAGTTGGTATATTTCTTAACAGCATGCGCTACAATAACTGAAACAAACTTAAAGTTACATCAATACCTCCAAGCAGTCTCAACACAAACCAAACAATATGAGCTTCGTCAGATTGGTATTTACTGCAGGGCTGTTGTGTTGTTTGGGCTTCTGCTGTTTTGTCTGGATCCTTCTCTGATGTTTTGCTCATTTGTATGATTAAAAATAAAAGACTAAGAGACTTTTTGCCAGCGTTAACCTTCTGCTTCCATTGGTTGTTGTGTTTCTTTCCTGCAGAGAAAGCAACCAGTGAGATGAACACCGCTGAGGACTGGGGCCTCATTCTGGACATATGTGATAAGATAGGGCAGTCACGCACTGGGTTAGTTAACTGTCTTTATACTAAACCTGACACACATACACATTTATCAGGCATAGCATGAACCTTCAAATTGTAAAACTCACTTTTCAATTGTAAAACTCACATCTCCCGCGGTTGGACGTAGAACCCAGGATCACCAAGTGTGCAAGGAGAAATTTAAGATAAATATCGACACCTTTATTGTTAAAAAAAACCTCTATAGTGATGTATTCTACTTAATGCAGCTGGATTGTTCTTTGGTCCTTGCAGAGCAGTTAATCTCTTCTAAACTTTTGATTTCTGCCATTCTGCTGCAGGCCTAAAGAATGTCTCCGCTCTATAATGAGAAGAGTGAACCACAAGGATCCCCATGTGGCCATGCAGGCACTGACTGTAAGCAGAGCGTAAACAAACACGTCATGTAGTCTTCTTGTCATCTACCCTTAATTAACCAGCTTTATTCTGTGATGTGCTATACCCCAATGTGTGCTAAATGTTTGTTTCGTGTTACGATGGAATAAACAGTGAGTCTGATCAATTGTTTGTACCAATGTCATCACAGCTCCTTGGTGCTTGTGTCTCAAACTGTGGGAAGATATTCCACTTGGAGGTGTGCTCCAGAGAGTTTGCCAGTGAAGTCAGTAACGTCTTAAACAAGGTATCTCATTTTTTACCATTTTGTCCATGTAAAAAACGGATTATTTCTGATTACTTGCAATTGGGTCCTGCAACATCCAGTTTCTTGTTCTCATGAAGGGCTTTTTTAACCATTGTCCCCAGGGCCACCCCAAAGTGTGTGAGAAGCTGAAAGCGCTAATGGTGGAGTGGGCAGAAGACTTTCGCAACGATCCCCAGCTCAGTCTGATCTCGGCTATGATCAAGAATCTACGCGAGCAGGGTGTCACTTTCCCGGCTGTAGGGTCCCAGGTAGGTGTATAGAGAAGGATATACTGGGTTTATTTTTTTATTTTTAGCATACTCTGTGTAAAAGGTGCATTTTTGAATTGCTGTATTTAGGGGACTCTTCGTGGACAACTGGTTAACAGGCCGTTGTTGCATGTCGTATTTACGTTGTTACTGTCCAATAAAGACAAAATATCATAATATATCTAAGAAAAATGTTTACTTTAATTAGGGAATTTGAGGTTGTTTTGCTCAAACATTAAGACCCACATTTGTCCTTTCATTCTTCTGTTGACTCATCTGAGCATGCGATTATTATTTTTTCAAAGGCTGCAGAGCAAGCAAAAGCAAGCCCTGCTTTAGTGGCAAAGGATCCCTCCACCTCAACAAACAAAAAAGAAGAAGAAGACTTGGCCAAAGGTAAGAAAGCTTTTTCCTCCGGTGTAAATAGAGAATATTTGAAGAGGAGTTATCCTTAAAAACATGCACAGTAACTAATTTAATTCTTTATTTACGTTGCATAAATCACTGTTTACGCTGGATAAATGAATTGCAGAAGTTCAGCAATATTTAAGGGCTCTCAAGGGCAAACGCATAATTTCACTGTCTCTGTCTCTTTTGTGTGCAGCTATTGAGCTGTCACTGAAGGAGCAACGTCAGCAGCCGCAGACCTCCCTGTCCAGCCTTTACCCGAGCACCTCCAGCCTGCTCTCTTCACACAAGTCCGACGGCAGGAAAGTCCGCGCCATCTACGACTTCGAGGCGGCTGAGGACAATGAGCTCACCTTCAAGTCGGGAGAAATCATCACCATCCTGGACGATAGGTGAATTTTTACACGCACAAATAATAAGCGGGTAAAAGCAGCGCTCAAGGATTTGTCAAATAACTGAGAGGATTGAGGGCAGCTAGGTGGTATTCATCTGGCCTGCTGAATGCCCTTGAGCAGAGGACTGAATCTACCAGCTCAAAAGAAAAATACCCCTTCAAGTATAACTTTATTATATCTCAACCAATCTGTCGAACAGCCTCTGGATTTTGTGACAGTTTAATTGAAAACTGTGTATCTCTAAAATGACTTTTCATGAATTTATGAAAAAAAAAACCCTGATGTTTT